CAAAAGGTCGGGAGATAGGGTTTTATTGAGCTTGAAGTGAGAGGGAAAGGAGCAGTGAGGCTGGAATGATGGGAGTCTGGAGGAATGGGGCTGAAAAGAAACCTGTTGAATTGAGGAATCAAAAGTTAAGAGGCAGAAAACGGAGAGGTTGAGGGAGGTGTGTGTGTGTGTGTGTGTGTGTGTGTGTGTGTGTGTGTGTGTGTGCAGATAGCTAGGCGGAAGAGAGGGTGGAATGTGTTGAGGATGGCAGGAACTTTGGGTGCTGAGATGAGAGAAGTTGGAGAAATCAAGTTAGCAAGTATGCTAGAAGTTGTAGAAAATACGGAAAGAAACAGCCGTGTGGCAGGCGATACCTGGAGACTGGTGAAGGGGGCGTCTGTTGTCTGGGGCCTGTGGCTCTTCTCCGTACTTTGACCTGTTTTCTTTGTTTTGTTTTTTCTCTTTCCTCCATCCAGTTGGCCCTGTCTTCACCAGGTATGTGTTGATGAGATGAACAGGGAACGGGGAGGGCTGAGGAGCACCAAGACCCTCTTTGAAAACACTCCCTGTTTTCTCTGTAGTGGTTGGAGACACGGCCAGACAGGCAAGAGTGCCCCGTGTGTAAAGCTGGCATCAGCAGGGAGAATGTCGTCCCTCTTTATGGACGAGGAAGCCAGAAGCCCCAGGATCCCAGGTGGGAGACTGGACACAGTGTGGACGGAAGGTTGAACCTCCGCCCCGAGAGAGTGTGGAAGAGGTGCTGATCCCCTCTCTTCTTCCTCTCAGATTGAGGACTCCACCCCGCCCCCAGGGCCAGCGACCAGCTCCAGAGAGCCGAGGGGTGAGTCTCCTTGCCCAGCTGTGTCCCTCCGGTGCCAAAGCCCGTGGGTTTCCCTGACCTTCCTGCCTCCCTAGGGGTTCCAGCCGTTCGGCGATGCCGGGGGCTTCCACTTCTCGTTTGGTGTCGGTGCTTTTCCCTTTGGCTTTTTCACCACCGTGTTCAATGCCCACGAGCCTTTCCGCAGAGGTGCAGGTAAGAGCGTTCCCCAGGTTCCTGCCAGGGCCCTCTCCTGGCCTGCAAGCACGCTTTTGAAGTTCCCTTTCTCCCACAGGTGTGGATCTGGGACAGGGACACCCGGCCTCCAGCTGGCAAGATTCCCTTTTCCTGTTTCTCGCCATCTTCTTCTTTTTCTGGCTGCTCAGTATTTGAGCTATGTCTCCACCCTGCCCACCTCTAGCTAGAGGAGAATCAGTATTGGGGGTCCCTGCTGGCCCTTCCTTGCTTTTGGAGCACCCCCTCACTTCCATGACCTATCTCTGTTGGCCAAAGCCTCCTTCAGGAGGCCGTGGGGAAGAGTGACCAGTCTGCTTAGGATGGGGTGCCTGCTGCTCTGTACTGCTGGTCCAGTAGCGCAGTCATTCCCCACCCTGGAGGAGGACAGATTAAAGACAGGTGCCCAGTTCTCCTTGGTCCCAGTCCTTTGCTTCCCCCAGATTTCTTGATTTGATGTTTAAAGGTGGGCTCTCCCCGACTCCTCCACTTGTTGATTTAATTTAATTTTCTCTCCCTGCTGTCTAATATGGGTCTGACTCTAAATGTCTCCTTTCCACCCCTCACTACCTCCTTTATTACAACTTCAATTAAAAAAAAGTGAAATATATTGTTGGGAAGTCTTCCCAATCCTTCCCTTCTTCCAGGACAGGTACCTCCTCCACCCAGCTTGAATAGATACTTGGTACAGTGGGAGGCATGGATGAGCCCCTCCCCTGCAGGGCTCCCAGGGATACAGGGGTGAGGTTGCTTATCTCACACACAGACAACGAGGAGGAGACAAGTGTCAGGTGTTTACTCAGCGTGGGTCAGGTGGGCTCTGGTTGTAGAAGTGTATTGAGGTGGAATAGGGATCATACATGGGAGAGCTGGTCGGGCGGGGGCCAGCACAGCTCCAGGAGGGAGGCGAAGGAGCTGGTGGACGAGGTCTGCCTGGCTCTCCTAAGGTCCTCCTGCCCCGTTCTCTGCTGTCTCAGCGTCCTCTGACTGATTCAGCTCCGCACGTTCCTCCTCGTCCTCCTGGTTTTCCGGGGCCTTCCTGAGAAGGCACGGTATTCTAGCCGTCTGTTGGCCCGCTCCGACAGCTCTCAATTGCTGCCTGGAAGCCCCTGGTCAGTGACTTTCACTCACCTCTCCTCTCGTCTGGGTTGCCGTTTTCGCCACAGGATGGCCCCAATGAGCAGGGTGGCTATTCCCAGGCCTCCCAGGATCCCCAGGGCCAGGGCCAGCGTTCCCAGCCCAGACCCGCCCACAGAGCCTGTAGGGACACAGGTAAGATTGAAGGTACAGCTCCAGCACACACGCTCCTTCCTTGTTGACTATACCCAGTCACATGTGGCACTCATACGCTTCCCTGACTTTAGTGCTGTCCCTCACCTGCAGCTGGCCTCTCCTCGCCTGTTTCTGGAAGACAAAGAGTAGTATGAGGGAAGACTTGAGCTTGGGTGGGGCTGTCTGGTGGGAGGCCCAGTGGCGTCTCCCTTCAGTTAGTGGGCAGGATGGACTTCTCTCTTGACAGGATTGTGGTGGAGCAGAAGAGGCCTAGGTGTTGAGTGCTCTGAGGGAGGGGTGGCCTGGCTGCTGGGGATCATGTCTGAATAGGGTAGGGAGAGTGTTGTGTCCCTCGCCATGGCCCCAGGGTCCCCGGGTCTGGGAGGGGTTGGTTACCTGTGATGCTGATGCTGACAGGAGGGCTTTCCTGAGGCCCGTGGCTAGGGTGGGTGGCCACACAGCTGTAGACGCCCTCATCCTCGTGCCCTACCTCAGGGAGGAGCAGTACAGGGCTGGGGTCGAGGGGCAGGGGTGCACCCTGGTGGGGAGGGGGAGGGGAGATGGTCAAGAACCCCTGGCCACACACCCTCGACTCTTCATTTCCCCAGCCGCACATTCTGTCCTTTGGGCCAGCTCTCGGGCCTCCCAGGCCACTCACATCCTTTATCCAGTGAATCTTCGGAGGTGGCTGAGCAGAGATGACACAGGTCAGGCTCACAGTCCCCCCAGGAGCGACGGTTCCACCTTCTGGATCAACCAACAGCTGAATCTCCTCTGGAGGCCCGAGCTCTGGGTGGGGATGGGCGTGAGGTCCATCAGCACACCTGGAAGCAGGCCTGGGGGCCCTGGCATTGACCCCTGCCTCCCTCCCTACTCACCCCTGACACGGGGCTGGAAGGGGGCTGTGTTCAAGGGTCTGCGCCGGGGGAGGCCCAGAGAGAAGCTGCAAGAGAAGGTAGGATGGTCGGCTCCTCCTCGGGCTGGGGTCACTGTCAGCTCTGACTGCAGTGTGAAGAGCCCTGTCTCGGGGTGTCTCCTGGTCTCTTCCTTCACAATTGTTCCTGTAGTGGGTAGGACAAAGTCAAACTCCCAGAAGTGTTGGGAGAATATTTGGGAGAAGGCAGTCGGGTACGAGGGCACCCAGGCACTCACCTTTGCCATCAGGAATCAGGGGTTTCCCATCCAAGTTCCAGCTAAGGGTCCCTGCAGGGTAGCTTCCCTCTGACACACATGTCCCCACCTGGAGGAGAATAGAGACCTCACCCTCTGACTCTGTGAGGCCATGTAGGCGGCACACAACTGCATTCAAAGTACCCTTCCTATTTTCTGTACCTTATTAGGGACACCAGCTGTGAGTTCAGAGGCAGCATCCACAATTTCTGGCTTCCCAGGAATCTCTGGAGGGAAAGTCCAATCAGAAGCTGCCTTTTGAAGTTTCTCACACTCCAGGCATGGGAACCAGGGCCAAGAGTCAAGGGTGAGGGGGAAATGAAGGCTTTTTCACGAGTGAGAAGTGACTTAGTCAAGGCCGTGGGACCCTTACGGTAGACTCGGACGCGGTAGTTGGACTTGACCTCCTTTCCACGCCTGTTGATTGCCCGACACCGGAAAGTCCCCTCATCAACGATCCCAATAGCTGGCAGAAGGAGGGAACCGTTGGGGAGGATTCGAGCCACGCTGTCCCAGGGTCCTCCCTGGGGAGACAGGACCTTCCAAGCTTCAGTCCGGCCCGTGTTCTGCAAGAAGAGAAAAGCCTAAGCGGTCCAGGCACTTTGGGGAAGGGCTGGGAGATAGCGAGGGGTGCTGGGGACCCTCCAGGTGCGCTCCTGAGGTGGAGCGGCCAAGCGGGGAGGCCTGCTTACCAGCTTCCATTCTAGCTGCTGGGGTGGTTTCTTAGGGGCCCCCTTACAGCTCAGCACAAGTGGCTCTCCAATCCGGGCTGTGATGTTCTGACCACCAACCACGGCTCCTGGGGGGCAGCGTCATGGTAGAGGGGCAGAAGGGGAGAGGTGGAGCTAATGAGTGTAGGACAGGGTGGGTGAGGGGCTTTGAAAGATGGTGCCCAGGTTCTAGGAGATGTCTAGGGAGAAGGGAGGTCCTGGGGAGCTGGGAGCTGGACTACTAAGCGGAGGGTCAGTGGGGCTGGGAGCGGCTCACCCCACAGAGCAAGGGCCAGCGCCCAGGCTCCAGCTGCTGTTCCTGTTGGCATCATGCTTCCTTTCCAGGCTCCTGGTTCTGTCTGCCCCTTTTCCTGCTGTGGCCACTGCCCTAGGTGGAGCTTGTACCCTCTGCCCTTCCCCCACTCCCATCTTGTCCCTTCACAGAGAATGCCCGGAATTCATGCCTCTGGGACAAGAGTCCTTCAGGTACTAGAAGCAGCAATCTCGCCCCACCCCGGGCACCGCCAGGCTCTGGGCACAGCCTCTTCTGGAATAGGGCTGTGCAACGCCAAGGGTCATTTCCCCCAGCCCATATTCCCCGAGTTCCATGCAGAGGGCTCGCTAGCGCTCCATCTTGACTGGGGAGGTTGCTAGACGACCAGGATGCGTTCACCTGGTCGGCTGCCATCCTGGGGTCTTTGCAGTGAGGACTGGACAGAGACCTGTTGGGGCTTTGCAAGAATTACCCTTTTTTGGGGGGGTGGGGGTGGTCCTAGTATTTTGTTTTGTTTTGTTTTTGAAAAAAATTCTCAACTAAACCCAGGGAAAAAAGAAATCTCTTTATTTAAAACTGCAGTTCTTTCTTTTTTTCTCTGTGAATCTACAAGTTTACAGGTGAGGAGAGAGCTGCCCCTGGCCCCCGCCTCCCACCTCCCTCTTGTCACACTCCCTCCATCCTGCCTGGGTCTTTGATGGGAGGGAGGAGTTCCCCATGGTGACAGTCTTGAAGATCCTGAGGAAGTTGGAGGGGGTCAGATAGAAGGCTTCAGGCTGAGACGAGACCATAAAACTCACACCTCCCCTCATACCTGCGCTCTGTGGCCTCTCTTCTCCCCACCCACTTGATTTTGGCATGAGATTAAAAAATGAACAGAAACACTTATTTCTGGGAAACTGGGGGAGATACACATAAGCACCCAGCCCATATTTAGCATATTTGGCAAGAATACCCTCCCCATTCATTCTTCTCCACTCTGCAAATAGTTAAAAAAAATTTTAAAAAAAGCCTTTTGACTTTCTCAAAATTACTGAGTTCAGTCCAGCCTGGCCCAAAGGTTATTGGGAGGGGAAGACAGGAGGCTAGAAGGGCATGGTGCTCACGTCAGAGCTGCAGAGATTTGTCTGCACACACTAAGAACACCTAAGTGACCAGGGTGAGGACATGGTGTCCTGCAAAATCCACTTCCCCATTGGTAGGCCTGGAGCAAGTAGCCGCCGCCGCCGCCAGCTGCCTCTGTTCGCTTACTAGGGTCCCTTTGGCTCTCACTTCTCACATGGGTAAACAAAAATAAATCAGTATGTTTATTTAAAAAAAAACAACCCACACACACACCAAAATCCCTACTTCTTCAAACTATTAAAAATTAAGGATCACCACTACCAACAAAAACAATTAAAAAAAAAAAAATACAGACAGATCCCAGGGTTTCTAAAAAACAAAAACAACTCCAAAGCCCAGCCAACAATTTTCTAAAGTAGCAGAAACTCCCTCCGAGGTAGATATCTGAGTCAGACACTCTTGTCCACCGAGCGATTCTATTGGTTTAAGATGAGCTGCGTATGAGGTAATAAAGCCGTCTGGAGGGGCAGAAGGTCGGGATGCATGGGGTGGGGGTGGGGGTGTTGGCCCAGGGCCTCTGTCCAGGAGTCCCCATTTTTGGCATCTCTGGGTCGGGCAGGGCTGACGTCTCCAGATTCCAGAGTATATAAGTGGGGTGGGGAACAGAAATAGGGAGTCCAGAGACAAACAAAATAGTTGTATGTCGGTGCAGGTTTGAGAGAGATATCTGAGAAACAGATATGTTTCCTGTGTGAGAGGGAAGAGAAAAAAGGAAGAGGGGACACCCCACTTTCCCTGCCATGTCGCCAGCACCCCAGCACTGTGTCTAGTTGGGGAGAGCATGGCCCCAGCCGCCCTTCCGTTTGTGCTTCTGTCGGGGTTTGTCCTTTAGATGCCCAAGTCCTCTTCAAGAGTTGCCTGGTGGGAGCCCCCAGCCCTGTGACCTTGAGGGGCAAGGTCAGTTGGAGGTGTCAGAGTGAACACTTCCCGGTCCCTCTGTTGGGGATGTCACTGAGGACGGGGTCACAGCCTCCTGCCAGCCACCATTGGCCTGGAAAAGAGGGAATGAAAGTCAGAGAATGAGAAACCCTGTGTGGGGGATCACACTTCTGTCCTGGCGAAAGCCGGCAGCTGGACACAGCCAGGCTCTGCGATCCACTCACCCGCATTTCTCGAGGACTGTATATCTGGCCTCCCCCGAGGTTATCCCCGTAGCTCCCTGGCCCCATTGAGTGTCGGAGTGATTCCACCTGCAGGGCACAAAGGGAGGTATGACACATGGACAGACAGGCCTCATGCGCTGGGGGTGGGGCCAGGGACATAGCTCAGCAGCTAAAGGCGCTTGTCACACAAGCCTGGCGACCCGGTACCGGTCCCCAGAACCCACCTAAAGTCAGGAGATAACCGACGTCACCAGGCCGCCCTGGCTGAGCGCGTGCAGGGAGTGGCATGTGTACCTGCCCCCCACCCCGTCCGTGCACACAACGAGGGAAAAGAGGAGGTGGGGCTCCAGACCTGGGAAGCAGAGTAGGAGTCTCCATTGAGCCCGGGCATCCCCAGAAACATGTCTCCGGATCCTGAGAGATTGAAAGAGCCGCCAGAGCCTTGGGAGAGCATTGAGAGAATTAGAGGAAAGTACAGGGGACCGTCGGACGGTAGACAGGAAGGAGATGAACACAACCTTAGCTTCCAGGGAAGCTAACTCTGGGAATGCACACGGATCGCACACAGATCAGCACACACACCCTCAGAACAGGCTACTTGTGAACCCCGCCAGCTCACCCACTAAAGGCCCCTCCCCCTGACATCATTACCCCTGGTCTCTTTCACCCCAAAAAGTCCTCTTTGCTGTCATCTTGCATAGACAGGAAGCATGCAAAGCAGCCAGCTAGAGTGGCAGTGGGCTGTACCTGCAGAGGAGGGGGGCGTCGGGGAGCTGGTGCGGCTGTGCCCCCCCTGGGCCACTGACACGGCTGTCTTCACAGCATAGATATTCGCCTCCTCTTGGAATTTCCCAATATTCTTCTTGTAGCGAATCCGCTTGTTACCAAACCAGTTGGAAACCTGCAGTGTTGGGCAGGGAGGGTCAGGCGTTCGGAACCCCTTCTCCAGGACCCCCTCCCCAAGTAACGTCTGAGAAGGCTTAGCCCCTGGCCCCCTGAGTACCTGAGAGACAGTGATGCCGCACTTCTTGGCCAGCTCCTCTTTGGCCTCCTCACTGGGGTAAGGGTTACTCAGGTGAGAGTAGAAATACTCGTTCAGGACCTCGGTGGCCTGTTTGCTGAAGTTCCGGCGTTTTCGTCTACAAAGGGAGAGAAGTGTTGAGCGTGCCAGCAAACTCCAGGAGGTAGTATCATCATAGTGCCTTGCTGGGCAACATGGTGGCCCCGGGGTCCCGGAGAGGTATGGGAGGGAGCCAGGTACTGGGGGCCAGGCTCAGGGGTCCCTGAGCCCCACCTGGCATCCAGGAAGCGAGAGCGCAGGATCATGACCGCCTCGCAGGTGCTCTGCTTCAGCTGCATCTGGATGGCGCTGAACTTGCGATGGATGATGCTCACCATACGCTCCATCTCCTTGGGGGCCACAGGACGGGTGCGGCTCTGCTCCCTCAGCAGGTTCATGACGTGGGTGGTGAACTCATTGCACGCCTGTTGGAGCAGGTGGGCTGGTGAGGAGCCCTGTGGGAGGCTTGGGGAGGCCTCCGGCGTCTAGAGCCTCCACTCACCGAGACTCCGCTCCTCACCTGCTCATACTTCTCCAGCTCCGAGTGGTAGATGTGGCGGATTTGGGCAAGCTTGCTGCGATAGTCTGAGTGTTCGATGGAGTTGTCGGGGGACACGCCACCTCCCGAGGCTGCAGCGGCTGCAGCTGCTGCTGCGGAGCCTCCCCCCTTCTCTGGTCCAGCCACACCTTCTGCCAGAAGCATGTTGTCCAAGCGCATCAGCTGTGGGTCCACTGGCTCCTCCTCTTGGGAGCTCCGGATGCTAAGGCCTAGCAGGCAGGCAAGTGGACTTAGGGCCCCAGGAACCCCTCACCCAGTGTTCCAACCTCCTAGTGTCTCCTGAAGACCCGGCCCCCGGGCTTTGGCTCCTTCCCATTCCCTTTTGGGCAGCCTCCCTGGGTCTCTTTCCTCAGGGCTTCAAGCTGCCAAACTCTGCGCCCTGGGGTGAGCAGAGTCCAGTTCCCAGAGGTGAGTCCGAGGGACACCCACGTACCAGTTTTCTCCTTGATCTCACACAGGACACTAAACAGAGCCGGCTTCATTCGGTGGCAGTTTAGGGCGTGTTTCCTTAGGAGGAACGGGAGGAGAAAAAGTTCAGGGCCAGGAGAGAGGAGAGGGGTGCCAGGGAACGAGGTGGGGGACGTCGGAATGGGGGTGGAATGGAGTTGGACGGGTAGTTCTGGAGGAGAGATCAGCTGCCATAGCTCCGGGAAGCTGCTGGCCCAGAGCAAGCAGAAGATGCAGGCAATGGGGCTGAAGTCACCATGGGCCGGCAGCGAGGCTGAGGCAGACGGTTCAAGCAAAAAGATGGAGAAAGGATCTAGAGACGACTGAGGAAACGAAGGTGACTAGGTAGGCTCTGGAGTAAGGGAAATAGAGGCTGAGATGGACGAGCTTCAGTGCGAGGTGGCAGGGGGCCTGGGGGGGGTGCCCCCCTACCTGGCCGTTCAGAACAGTGTGTGGGCTGAGCAGAGGGAAAGGCTGTGAGGACTCTTGGAGGCCCCAAGCACGGTGGAAGGGAGTGTGTGGAGATCCTGGATCCGAAGAGAATGGGGTGGGCTAGCCCGAGAGTTAGGGAGGACACCGTCGCTGAGAACAGTTTCTAGGTCTGGGAGCCAGGAGATGGGCGGGTGCGGAGTGTAGGGGTCAGCAAAAGGTTAGGAGGGAAGGAGACCACCTGGGGTTCCCTCCGCGAGGTTTTAGGGCCTAAGGGCAAAGCGAGCTTGGAGAGACCACTAGAACTAAGGGAAGAAAAGAGTTGCCAGGTCCAGAGAGGGCCCTGGGGGAGGGGGGCTTGCAGGGGACTCCGAGCTGTGAGCAGGGTCCCGGGGTGGGGGCACTCACTTGGCCTGGGCCTCGTCCAGGCTCTGGTCGGTGATGGTCATTATCTGTTGCAGAATGTCCCCGATGTCTTGCTTCCCTCGGCCTCCCGGGACCCCCCCACTTCCCCCACCGGGGTCTCCGGCACCGGGAGGCTCGCCAGGGCCCCCGGGCTCCCCACCCACCAGCCCCAGGCCCCCCCGGCCCCCGCCCGGAGGGGGCGGCCCCAGCAGCCGCTCGTCCATGGCTGGGGGGGGCCCCGAGGCCCCCTCCCTGCTCGCCCCTCCCCCCGCCGGTGACTTCCCCCCCCAAACTCGCCGGGGCCGCTGCTCCCTCCGCCCCAACCCCGCCCGGCAACCCGCCTCCCGGCTCCCTCCGGGGGTTCACCCCGGCACTGAAGGGGAGACCTGGGGTGCCGCCTGGGCACCCCCACAGGAGACCCCGGCCCCCGGCGGCGGAGAAAATGGAGCCGGAGAGAGAGAGAGAGAGGAGGCCCAAGCGGGGGTGTGTATGCGAGAGGAGGGAGGAGGGAGAAGGGGGAGCGAGGGAGGCGGCTGGGGGAGGGGAGCGGGAGGAAGAGGAGGGGAGGAGAGGAGGAACGGGGAGGAGCCGGGGGCGGGGAGACGCAGGCCGGGCGGCGGCGGGTGGAGGCGGGGAGCGGCCGTGCAGCTCGGCAGAGACTGGGCTGGCCCCGGGGCCGGCGAGCTGGCGCTGGGGTCGGGGGTGTCGGCCACCGGGGCTCCGAGCTCACCGTCGGGGTGGTGCGGACTCCGGCCGCCGGAATGCTCTCCGACAGCTCGGTTCATATTTCTTGTTCTAATGACTCCCCTCCCTGTTCGACTTAATTAAAACCGGGAGACGGGGGGCTGGGGGAGATGATTAGGGAGGTCTCCAGCCGCTGCTTAATGAGCCAGTAATTAACCAGCCAGGGAGGGGAGTTGGCCTCTGGCCAGATCGCGGAGAGCGGCGGCCCCAGGTCTCACCTACCCACCTCGCGTACCCACCCCTCCGCCCCCAGATACCAGTCTTCAGTCCAGGAGGGAATTATATTTATTCATACAACCAAAACATCAGACAGACCCAGCAGCAGGGGGGGTGGGCGGGGCTAAGGTTCGCTTCACAGCCTCCGGTCCCCTCTGCCTTGGGCCTTGGGGGTGCTAGTGCTGGACAATTGTCTTAATCTTTGCCTTTTTTTTCTTTCTAGGCAGGAAGGGGCAGGCCTCAGCCCTCACACCCTGTTTAGTAGCTTGACAGCTCAGGATAGATACTCTTAACTGTCTTAAGGAGTTATGTCCACCCTACCTTGCTTATTCTCAAGGTTAGAGTACTTGTCCCAAGTCCAGTTCCCTGGGAAAGTGGGTGGTAAATACTGCCATTTCAGCCGCGTCTTCAGTCTCTGGTACCCCTTGCCGAACCGGCATGTGGGGTGTCCCAGCTTTGAGTCCCAGCGAGAAGGGGCTGTTTGGGAGCTCTCAGGTCTCAGCAGGTGTGTGTAGGGGGCCGAGATCTTTGCTCCTCCATTCGACCTCCACCCTGAACTTTGAGCAGCAACTCCAGGAGCTCCTGTCCCCCGGGGGGAAGGGGCGGCTCTGACCGCTGGGTTTCCATCCGCTGGCACTAGAGATGTGGAAGGAGAGGAGGGCACTGGTGGTCGGGTGGTGGGTTTGGGCAAGAGGACCAGGGTTGGTGTAGGGCAGACAGGAAATCTCTGATGGTGACGAGGGGAGCTGAGGCTGGCCAGGGGATATATGCTTTAGGGAGAAAAAGTTAGGGCTCAAACAGAAGGCCAGCAAGGGGTGGTGGTGTAATATGTCTGCCTTACCTGGTGACTAAGGATGGTGCTGTAGAGCTGTTCTTTGTCCTCGAGAAGCCGAGGTGGGGTTGGGGCTGGGCTTGGGGGCGCTTTGGGGGGATGGAAGGTGGCCCTCTGTTCCTCTAGGCGGCGGGACTGGGCCTCAGCCACCAGGTCCAGAAGGAGCTCAGTCTGCAGGGAGAGCAGGGAGCCCGAACGGGGCCCCAGGGCTATGGGAGAAGAGGGAGGAGGGCTAAGAAGACCCAGAGGCGGTGGTGAGTGGTGTAGCAAGCGGTGGGCACAGGGAAGCTGATGGACTCTGGATTAGGGACCAGCAGGTGAGCAGCTATGGTGGTTAGTGGGCCGACCCTGGGGTAGGTCAGGATCTCCCAGGGTTGGTGGGGTACCTGTGTGGCGGGTTCCTGGCGGAGGAGGGGAGGGAGGAGCAGATCGCCAAGGCCGAGTGGTGGAGTTCACAGGGGGCCAGCCCTGATCATCTTGCGGGGGACCCTGATGGCCAAGACATGTCCATTCCAGTCAGATGAGGGGTGTGGGCAGAGGGCTAGGCCCGCGACCAAGCTCTTCCAAGTCTCCTGTGTCCATCGGTCTCTGGGTCCTCACATGCCCCAGGCCCCTTCTCCCTCGGCTGGCCTCTCCCCACCCCGGCGCCCAGCTCACCTGGTGTTCACCATCCTCTTCTTCCTGGGGTCTTTCAGTCTCCATCCCTGGACTTGGGGAGAGACACTGATGGGGAAGGGGTGACTGGAATTTGGAAGGAGGACTGGAACCCTGGGTTCCTGAGGGGAATGGGGGCTGGAAGGGGTGGGGGTGACCTGGGGGCTGGATGCCTGGGTACTGAGCAGGAAGCTAGGTTCCTGGTCAGCCCCCCCACGGGCCCCGCCCATCTCGGCCAACTTCCTCCATTCTCTTTTCCCACCCAAACAGCTTGTTTGACCTCTCTTGCCCCAGGGGAGGACAGAGACTGGGAAGAAGTCCAGCTGCAGGATGGAGCAGGCTCCTGACACGGACAGACTCTGGCCTGCTCATGTCCAGAGCCTCAGTAACCCCTTCGCCTGCCCCACTGCTCTCTCCACCCCACCTCCCCTTCAGCTCCTCTCTGTCAACACCGGAACTAGCTACAACACAGGAAGTGGTTTCCCTCTTTGGGATCCCCCTCCCCCAAACCAGGTTCTTTCTCTCCAGGCTAAGACTGATCCTGCTGTAGGACTTGGTCCTTCTCACCTTCTCTCTTGACTTTACTGGGTCAGGGAAGGGCATGGTTCTGGAAGGAAGCAGAAGGCTTGGATCCGGGATGCATTGCTCTCAAATACATGCGCACGTCCTAACACTGGCCCAGCACACAGGAAGTAGTCAGGGACCGGCAGTTGACGACTAGTTATCACTGCCCTCAGCGTTACCAAGTGTGAGAGCATGGTCACTGGCAGCTCAGCTAGTGTAGACAAAGGCCAGGGGAAGACTTGCCTGGGGTCACGAGAGTGGGACACAGAACTTAGTTTGGCTTTTGACCAGTTCTGGTTAGCCCCAGGGGGAGCGGGACAGACACCTGGAGTCTTCAAATGGCTGTCTGCCACGTGAAGTTAGAGCCATGGCTTGGGGCATGAAATGGGATGAAGAGAGGCCTGAGCTCTTAGGTGAACGAAATCTCTGTGCCTCAATTTGTGAAGGGGTAAAGTGGCCTTTGGTGGCACTTACCTCAGAGAATTAGGATGAGTTAATTGTAGAGAGGCTCTTGGCCCATAAGGGATGCTCTATAAATGGTGGCTGATAATCTTCCAGAATGCCTCCTGGCTGCACCTCACAGGCTTATCAGAATTGAGGTAAAGCCATGAGGCTGAAATTCCAGTTCAAGTTCCTCCTGTCTTCCTTTATTCGAGACCTTAGGAATATGTTATAGCTAAATGCCCTTGGATGAGGAACAGTATTTGTCACCTTGTATATTTGTTTTGACTATTAGAGATTCTCGCCTTCGGATGATACCCCGAATGAACTGGGATCCCCAGATTGTTTGCCCTCAATTGTATTTAAAAGCCCCTGACCTCTGTGGATGAACCTAGAATACTGAATAACCCAAACACTATGCACTGTCCAGGTCCCCGGACAAATTGAGTAACACTTTAAGTCAGCTTTATTATTCATGAGTTTGGGGTTCTTAGAGATAGCAGTCGGTAGAGAGCAAAGCCTCATCCCTGCGCCACTTGGGGGGGGGGTGGAGGGAGGGGCAGAGGGAGGGCAAGGAGTCATCAGCTGGAGGAGCCATTGGTTACCTTTCATCGTCAACACAACGCCCAGCACATGGTAGGTGCTCAATAAATACTTGCCAGCTACTTGTGGGTAGTGGATCGCAGAGGCTCCCTTTGGGAAACCATACACAAGAAACATTTTACACCCAATTTGCCGACAGTTCTTGGTTCCAGTCTAGGGATTCTCAGAATCCACTTTGTCCTCTTGTAGCTGCTCTATTTTCCAGGAAGAGCCCGGCACGTGTCATTCGGGCATCCTAAACCCTCTTCCCAGTGCTGTGCATACTCCATGGGGAAGACAAGCGAGCATACTGCTAAGTCTGGAGTCTTCCAGACTGCCTGTCACTCCCTTCCCTCCATGCAGCTGCCTAGCTTTGATTCTCTCCGCCCGAGTTTAAGGGCACCTCTTGGTGGACTGGAAGACCCCAGGCAACTTGAGGGGATCCGTGTTCTGGGGATGGGGTCAGGCTCGGAGGCGGGATCGGCGCACTGCGGGCAGAGCCGCAGGTTTCCAGGGCCACCCAGTCGCGAGGCCAGTCATCCTGTGACGCCCTGGCCCCGCGTCGCCCACGGGAGCCCGCGGAAAACCTGCGGCCGCGCAAGGGAGGGCCTCCGGAGCCTCCGGACCGGCTCCGGCAGCGCGCATAGGCTGCGCCCCCGCGCGCCCCCAAGTCCACCGACCAAGTGCGAGCTTGCAGACTGGCTCCGCCCCCGCGCGGGCGCGCTCCCGCCGACAGCGTCCGGCAGCGCGGCGCGGCCCCGCCCCCCGACGCGGTGCGTGCGTGCGTACGGGCCTCCAGCGTGGGCGGCCCCGCCCCCTCCAGTAGCGTCAGCAGGTCCCAGTGGCTTCGCTGGCGGGCCACATCTCCCGGGGCCAGCCCGGCCTGGTCCCGCAGTCCTCGGGCCGCCCCGAGCTCCAGCAGCAGCTGCGCCACCTCCATGGCCCCTTCGCGCGCCGCCAGGAACAGCGGCGTCTGCTCCTGCGGGGCGGAAGCCGGGGGGGGGGGGGGGGCGGTCAGAGTCCCCGCCCACCGGGCGTCAGTCTCCTCCCACCAGGCGCTGGGCCCGCCCCCTTTGAGCTTTCTGGTTTCCCGTGCTTTTGGGTTGTTTTGTGGGGAGTCTGCGGCAGGGGCTCACCCTGCTGTCTTGGGCATCTTTATCAGCTCCAGCCTGGAGGAGGGAGCGGGCAGCTCGGGCGTTGTTCACAGCCGCGGCCCAGTGCAGTGCGGTTTTTCCTAGGGTACCACATGGGAGCCGTTACCCCGCAGTTGGGGGACCAGACTCCTGCGTTCCAGTTTCCCACGGGTTCTGGCCTTCGTGATGGGGGCGGGAAGGGGGGGGAGGAAGGGAGAGCTACTTGGGTTCCTCACTGGCGGGAAGCGTTGCCCTGGCAACCGACAGTCGGCTGCAAGCGTTGCCCCGGTGACGTCATCGGCTCGCGGGAGGGACAATGGGTATTGTTCAGGATCGGTGGGACCGGGGTATCCCCATCCCGTTCCCGCCGATACTTCTTCCATCCTCGATTCACGGACTGAGGCAAGATGTGTAGTTGACGGCGAAGGGGAAACTCTCTCCATACACACAGGAGGGGTATCCTCTAGTCTGTCCCTGCTACGCCTGCTGTTTGAACCTCGCCTCATTCCCGCTCTGCCCAGCATTCCGATAGCACACCGGCTCCAACCATACCCCTTTTATCTCTGGCTCCCACATCCGCTCGGGCGGCGATCAGTTCTTCAACCAGGTCCTCCACTGCCAGCCGGGCAGCCAGCATCAGAGGTGTGGTCCCGTCCTCTGTGCGTGCATCCACAGCAGTCCGCCTGCTGGCCAGTAGGAGCTGGGGAGGCAGAGAGGGCCTGTGACCCCTGCGTTACCCTGGACGTCTAGGTCAGGCCCCTTTCACGCTTTTGTTGTCTGTTTTGGTTTTGAGACAAGGTCTGGGACTCCTAGTGATCTGCCTGCCTCTGGCTCTCCAGTGCTGGGATTAAATGGTAGGCCCTCCAACCCCCTCTCCAGTCGCTGTCTGCCGCCTTCCTCTTTCACGTCTTCGGCTCAGTTTCCTCTTTGTCAAACCCTAGAGAAGACCTCTCCATTTTACTTGCAAGCTCCCTCCTACCTCCTGCAGGGACCCCAGTGAGCGCTGACCTGGCAGACCTCCCGAGCATCAGCAGCCACTGCAGTGTGAAGTGGGGTGCGCCCTGCCTGGTCAGGCTGGTTGGGGTTGGCTCCAGCCTCAAGGAGGCGGCGGGCAGCAGTTGGCCTAGAGAATCGGGCAGCCAGGTGCAGGGGTGTCTCTCCAGTGCCCACAGTGTGAGTCTGGGGGCGGGCCCCTCTATCCAGCAGTGGTTCCCAGGGTTCAGGAGTGCCCAGCCACGGTCCTTGGACGATCGTGGACTCCACTCCTCCACAGACGACTGCTGACATCAGGCGTGTTACCCCATCTGTGGGTGAGAATGGATACTAGGTCAATGGGAAGAAAACAAGAAGAATAACTTGGCTGCTGGGAGAATTTCAGCCAGAACACAAGCTCTGCCTTTTATGAGGGGTGGGAGGAGGTTGAGAAAGGGATTGAGCTCTGACTGTCCTGGGACTCGCTAGACCAGGCTGGTCTTAAACTCACAGAGATCCACTTGCCTCCCAAGTGCTGGGATTAAAGGCGTGATTCACCACTACACCCAGCTCTTCGTGTCTCATCAGTAACAGGAGCAAGAAGGCTTTCATTCTCAAAGGTTCTCAGGCTTGATCCTGAGTCACACTTATCTAGAGGTTTGGTTAGGTTGCTCCCCGCCTCAGCTTGCTGAGGGTTTGAGTTTGCATTCCCAACAGACCCCCATGTAGTCGTGTCCTGTCCTAGGTCTCTGCTCTGAGAGCCACTGTTCTAAAGGTTCCAGTTTGGATTCTAATGGGCTTTGCTTCTAAAAAAGGGTCAGGGGTAGGATTCTGTTTTGTTTTGTTTTGGTCTAGGGTGGTTGTGTACCAGGTCCACGAGTGTCCATGTCCAGAGCCTCCATTTCACACTCTTGAGGAGGGGTCAGCATGGCCACCTGTGGGAGCTCTCCACAGCCGCTGTTCGGTGGCCAGAGCTGGCACTTGGAGGCTGAGGCCCTTTCTTCAGCCTTGGGGCAAGAGCAAGGATCAGTGAAAGCCACCGGGTTGTCCTCTCACCAGCACCGCTGGCACCGCTGGACCATTCCCGCCCCACCCTTTCCACCCGGTTCACCTCCTCTCCCTCCTCAGGGCCCGAGCACATGGCCACTCCATCCTCATCCACTTCTGCCTCTGGCTTCAGCGCCCTGGGTGGGGTGAGGAGGTCGGGTTATGTAGGCTAGGGCCCACCAGCACCTCCAGCATCTCCAGAAACCCCGCACGTCTGCAGCGGTTTTCTTAGCTCTCTTGACCCTCCCCTCCCTGAATCCCGGGCCCTTCTCAGTCTCACTTGAGACCGATGCTGTCCTCGCCCAGTGGGGGCCTCCGTCGGTGGGGCGCCTGCTGCGCCCGAGGCCTTCGAACAAAACCAGGGGGCAGCCACAGGGCCCCATGTTCTCGCCGCTGCCGCCGGCGGCGCCGGATGAGCTGGAGGACAAGGAGAGCTCCTAGGGCAAGGAGAAGCACCCCGGCCACCGTTGAACACAGCACAGGCCAGGGAAGCTGGCTGACAGGGGGCCCTGGGAGGAGAGAATCACAAAGGGGAGCATTCTTGGTGAGACCGAGCCAGCGGAGTAGCCTGCCTCAGTTTCCTCACCCGTCTCATGTAGTTAAATGTGTTAATGGTAAAATGCTTGGAGGAGAGCCCATAGGAGAGGATGTGGTATGTGTGGTAGTTACTGTTCTTTTATGAGCTGGACCCCAAGGCTGGTGGTAGGACTGTGGCAGAGGTTAGTACAGAGCGCTTAGGGAACTAGGGAGGCCGCTGAATGGATGGCCCGGAGGGAGACTCCTTTCAAAGAAGGGGTGTTAGGGAGACCAAGTTCCCCCTTGGCTCTCAGTCTGATCTCTCCCAGAGATGGCATGAGCAAAGGTCGAGGGAAATGGTAGGGGTCACCTACTGGTCCCCGTTTGAGGGTGAGCAGCCAGCAAGGGTCCAGGCAGCAGAGGCTCCAGGGCTCCCACTGCGGCTAGCGCCGCAAGAAAGCGCAGCAGGAGCCCGGAGTCCCAGGGACAGCGGGATGCAGGGTGTTCAGGACCGCAGCGGGACAGATCCACTCCCATCACCACCACAAACCTGGAGGAAAGGTCCATCAGGGACCCTCGAGCCCCTGGTCCCCTTCTCCAGCGCCATTTAAACAACTAACATTCGACCCTCCCTCCATCTCTTGCTTACCCAGCACCGAGGGAGTCTGGCTCCTTGCCCAGGGGCTGGGTGTGAGGGGCTGGTCTTTCCCATGAAGAGGAATCCCGAGTTCCGATGAGCTCCTCTTTGGCCCGAGTCCCCGGATAGGGGAACACCATGTTCCTGCCATCACTGTCCTTCCTCACCCAGAGCCCGACCCTCAGAGTCAGGGACAGGACTCGGGCCAGAGCAAGCAGCTGCTGATCCAGGGCTGGCGGACTCAGCACCACCAGCAGGGCCAGGGAGGGCCCCCACTCTGAGTCTCCATCTTCTGGCCTGCAGTCGCCCCCGTCCCAGCCACATTCAGCGCTATTGCATCCTTTTTCACAGTGTCCATTGTGGAAGTGATCTTGGCAGTACTGGTCATAGGCTGGGCTGTGGGTAGAGGAGAGATGGACTCAGGCCTCTCCATGGCCTCTGCCACTGTAGATGCTAAGGGTGGTGGCCAAATACCCTGACGTCTACTGACAGTCTCCTGAGACCAGCCATTCATCTTGCCCCTCTCCCAGAAAGAGGATCCAAGACCCCTTCTCTTGGGAGTGCTGGTTGCCAGGGGAGGTATTCTATGGCAGAAAGTCTCAGGGAGGGAAGCTGAGGCCTGAGACCTTGGAGCTCTCAGGAGTCCAGACAAAGGCGGTCTGTGCCCCAGAGTGTCAGTCACTCCATTCCTCTGGTTCGGAACCCAGAGTTTTCCTTAGCATGGAAACTCCATGGAGTCCAGTGCTGGTCATCCTGTAACTCGGGCATGTGTGTTTCCCCACCTCCACCCCATCCCGCCTCTGCTTCCGGGGCTCCAGGAGGCTCACGTGCAGGTTGGAGGGATTTCACAGTCATAGCCATCAAACAGACACTCCTCAGAGTCGCACTGTGGGTGGCACCGCCCATCCCGGAAAAGCAGCCAGCACTGGGAATGGGAAGGACAGCCCTTCCAGGGGTCTGGGACCCCCAGGGAGCAGTCCCCTCCATCCCAGTCTCCTCCTGGGCCACTGCAGCCAGCATCACAAGCCCCATCACCACCTCGGCCCTCACACCCATTTG